TAGAAAACCCGTCACAATCTTCTGAAACCACTTGGCCGGCGCCAACTTGGAACCAATACAAATCAATCAAGTCTTGGAAGACAATCCCACAGCAAAGTTGTGATTGGTTTTCCAGAAAAGCGATCAAACTTTTGTGGTATGTCCAGGGTATCAATCACTCCTGTTACAAACTTTTTAAGACATGAGCTGTGATTGATTCCTCCCATACATATGGTTTTGTGATTGGTTTTCCAGAAAACCAATCACATCTTGGAGGTCGACACCGCCTGCTGGAGTTTGATTGATTCCCATGGATTCCCATCCGTTTCTTGCCAAGGAGTTTGGGCGGTGATCTTGGCGGAGTTCTCAAGGCTGCTGAGCCTTTTGAGTGGTCCCGAGTCCCATTCATTCTAGAGGTGGGGCCAAACAAGTTGTGAAATCGTAGTAGATTGCAACACAGCAGTCAAAGTAATGTGTGGAACATTGTGGAGTATTTGATACTTTCACTTGCCTTCCTCCCTGAAGATACGGGGCCATGCAGTTGAAGAGTTCATTGAGACATCCCAAAGCCGTTCCAACAATGCCCACCACAAAAGCATGATGGCAGCCTACAACAGCTGGGAAGAAAGCCTTCGTGCTGATGAAGTGGCGTATGAATCCAACAAGATCCTGTGCCTTGGCCATTCCTTCACTAAGCGTTGACCCCCTGAAATCTGAGGGCCCTTGCGTAAGCGGATCTCAACCAATATTGGGAACATGTAGCCTGCAAAGCTTTGGGGCCCGATCCAACTTCAAACCCACACGGACCAAATTGTATCCAAAATGTTTCTTAAGCAACTTGCCTGTATTTACCGTTTTGATAAGGTTTTGAAGTGACAGCTAACTTCGAAACGGGGGGGCGCTCGCTCATGTTGGAGTCTCCTCGGAATTGCTTGTCTACTTGGTCGCATGTGCTTTGCAAGTTGTCCCTAACTGAGAGTGAATGAAAGCTATAACAACCACACTTCCCCAACCAAGGCAAGAGAAGGAGGTTGCAAAACGGCGAACAAAATTGATCGCTCAGCTGGAGGCCTTTGCCAAAATGTAAGTTCAACACCACAATCTAAAGTTCTCAATTTTACCAGAACACGAAGATCACGCAACCTCAACATCGTGTGTTGTGTCTGACAAACCGTTGACAGGAACTCCACGCAAGGGCCTGGGCTCAAGTCCGAGAATATCTGAGCATGAACCTGCGCATCTTCGGAGGACGAGCGACGGATGCAGAGTCTACGGTTCTGCCAGATCTGACATCGTGGGTGGAGGAAAGGTTCTTGGACATGCCCCAATGCAGACAGGCCAACGACCACGCGGTCATTCTGTGGGTAAATTTGCCCAGCTGCGGCATCCTGGGGGTGGCTAGGTATGAATATATGATCACTGCGGTGAGCAATTTGCTGGCGGTGCACAAGCGCAACGGGATTGCGCTCATCATCCATCCTAATCGGGCTGGACAAATGTTTGACAGGCTTGGATGTATATGGGATTTACTATGGGATTTATCTCTTGCATGCAGCTACATGTCTGGTCATGAGCCATGTTTCAAACGATGTTGATCGTCTATTGATTGATTAGTGTACACTTGTTCAAAGCCGTTTTTATATGTGTTTATTATACATGCCCATTCGTCAATGTGTGGTCACTGTCTCCTTGAGGAAGACAAAGAGGGAGGCTCACGATGATGCTGCAAAGAAGGAGGAACCCGACGACGATGAAGACATGAATAACCCCAAGGATGAAGATGGTGAGTCTGACAGTGAGGAATGCCTCGACAATCCACAGGAAGAAGCCGATGTCCGAGATGTCAGGTACAAGCTGGAGATGCTTTGAGATGATTATTCAAAACAACTTTGTGTTGAATGCAAAGCCAACCAGTGCGCCAAACATGCGCAAAATGCCTTGTGCCATAATTGTTGCTTTCATCCCAGGAAAGATCTATGCTTGAAGGAGCGCAACCTCCGTGTGAGAAATATCACATGGGTATTTGACCCTGTACCTGGGCGAGCATGATGAATACCTGACTGATTTGTTTGTCGTTGCGGTACCGGTAGCTTAGTTGCTTGAGTTTTTTCTGGAGCCCTGGTTTCCTTTAAAGCGCATCGGAGGATTCTGTGTACGGACGCCGCGATGGAGCAATCACTGGCCTAGCTGTGGTACACAGGGACAAGTCGAACATCTTCCAAGGAAGCAAAGGATTCAAGGTTGGAGTGGTGCACCATGTGGCCATGTGCCCACGAAATGCTATGTTCAAGCCCAATGTGCCTTGGCTGCATGCTTGCTGAGTTGATTTCGTTGTTTAGCATATTTCAAAGACCAGACTGACACTGACCCATCCCAAGCAAAGCCTCCAGGCTTCGCCATCGAAAGCTGGACTCCCTCACCTTGGACGTGCTCTTACAGATGTCCAGGAGATGAAGCAGGCTTGTGTGATATACAAAGTATACACTATATTTGTTTGTCATCTTAATGCATATTATCATAATATGCATTTTCTAGGTTGTGCCACAATCAACATATTGTTTCCCTTTCAATTGAGGTGAACAAAAATGTTTCCCGAAAACCTGAAATTGAGGTGGCGGCAGGCACAGACATCATCAAAAGATCCATGGCAGACTTCCTGCCATCAACAGTGGCGACAACGATGATGATCGATTTGCTTGCCTATGACAACTTTCCTGCATTGGCCGCTTTGGAGGATGCTTGATAGTCGTGAAGGTATCAAGTCGCATGAGCGTAGGGTGATACGATTACGATTTCAACATTCTAACAATGGGCAATTTGTTGGATCTTTTCTGGTGACCATTTGGATCCATTTGGTTTGTGCCCTACCAGCGTGTGCAAGCCTAATTCTTTCCAAATGGGTGAAATAAATCTTCTTGATGACAACACCGGACCCTCTACCGTTGACATCCCCTTGCAAATGTCCAAAGCTCTTCAGCCTTTCACATCGCTCTTGAGTATTTGGTGACAAACTAGTGGTCCTCCATGGTCCTCCACTCTATCGCCATGTAAGTCAACAACCCTGGGTATGACCATCGAGTGGGAGTGAGATGCAAGCGGCAAACATTGGCACACCATATAATGATTTCGAGCTCACCCATGCTTCACGGTGTTGCGGCCATGGGGTCACCATGGGTCACCAATACCAAAAGGATCTAAAAGGTGTGTAGACGTCTATGTGTTGCCATGAGTACAAAGCAACAAATAGCAAAATAGCAACTGTGTATGGTATCCTTCTTCAGGCTTCAGGATGGCAACCACAAAAACTGTGCAATGCACCTTGCACCTTGCCCTCCTTTAGGATGGTAAGATGGGGGTGTGCAACCGTTGTCGCGTGTGCAAATGTGTATGATATGGGTCACCATGAACCAGCGTATAGAACAGCATGGAGCAATCATTTTTTTGTAATTTTTGGGTTGGTAAGCTCATAGCCATGAAACATTGTGACATATGGCACTGAGAATTGAATAATATATCACTGTGAGAAAGGCATGGGCCACTTGGGAATGCTATCTTCGCTTGGTGATGGCCTTGAGATACTTTTGAGAAACTATCACGCTCGATGAAAGACTCACGCCTCAAACTCCAGGAAGCAGCAGCTGGCCACACAATCCTTTGCGCCACAGTGGTCCTCGATGGCCAGCCAGGCCTGTCTCAGCAGCGATTGGGAGCGGCGCTGTATGAGGCATGCAGGAGCAAGAGGATCGAGCTACCAAGCTTTCCAGAGTTCGACCCTGTTGTGAATGCCTTGAAAGGGTGTGGGTCCTCTGACCTTGAACTCCAGCTGAAGGTGACCGTTGTTCGTGGGGACAAGCTCTGCATCTTGCAATCCTTGGCCCGGAAATGGTTGGAGTATGACAAAACAAGAGAGTTTGCCCAAGAGGTCATTGGAAAGCACAACACCCACTTTTGTCATGGCGAACCTGCTGACTATCTAGAAGATGATGAGAGGACTCAGATTGAAAGTCGTGTAATACTGCATTGTTTTGTGAAAAAAATGAGGGTCTTATGGCCATGTTGTACATAGTTACCCCTCCACTTCCCCTTGCCTTGTTGCAATCAGGCCAGTGACCACGGAAGATGAGCGCCCTGCCAAGAAGATCAAACTCAATGCTTCTGATATGTGCGGTGAAGAACTTGTCACTTCTTTGAAGAAGCCGTGCCCAAGCTCAAGAAGCAACTGTTTCATGTGTTACCTGTGTCTGCTGACATCAAATTCGATAATGCATGTTGGTGAAGATCCTCAGGATCAAGCTGACTATCAATGGCTCTTCTGAACTCATCACCAATGAGAAAGGTGATTGCCTCTTCCTGCAATGTCGATCTTCGCAGAACTTTGCATGCCACCGGGAAATGCTTCCTGTTTGCAATTCAGTCTCACTATTATTTTTTAGTATCACTCCTGTCCTACATTATTGCAGGTTCAGCTTTGGCAGTGGAGAGTGGCGAGACGGCCCTGAAACTTGTCCAGCCTCGCCTTGTGTCCTCCTGTTCTTCTTCTTTTCTCCATCCAAGCGCCTGCAAAATTTGCCATCCAAGGAAGCGCAGGAGGTCTTGAGTGATGCATCGGGTCGATGGTTCCTTTTCAATGCGAGCGTTTCTACAATCGTCGTGGTTGAGAAGACCGACTTGCCCACCCATTTGTCAGGGCTGCCCTTTGTGAATGTTCCAACTACATTGCAAGATGTGGTGCGGCAGCTCGAGGACGCTGGTGAGGTGGGGGGGGCAATGTTGGATGTGTGTCACGTGTTATTCAAGTCACATGTTTTTCATCTCACGTGTTATGCCAATGTTTAGATTGGAATGGAAGATACATCTGGGTCCTAAGGTGCACATCGAGGTTGGCCACCATCAGATGAGCGGCGACCGATCAGAAGTGAAACCCGAGCCCAACAAACCTTTGGTCTTTGTCTTGGACAACAAGGCTGATGATGAGACCCTTCGACACAGAAAGTTCAAGATTGATGTGCAGTTTCCCATGTGTTTGGAAGTGCTTACATCATTCACTAACAATTTTGGTTCTAACAGCCTTTATGCAAACCAAGGAAAACCAAGAAGAAGAAAAAGAAGAAAGGAAAGGATACTGCCACGATCAATTCTTTTGGAAGCAACCTGAACATCGACTCCTTCAAGCAGAGTGACAAATTTGCCATTGGTTTCCGCTGCCGGCTACATGTCTCAAAGATTTGTTTATTCATTGTTCATTCCATCATCAACTCGATCCATTTCGGGTTCAATTCGCCTCAAGGCTTGGGCCATCGTTTGCAGAAGGTGGTGCGAAGGTGATCACTCCTGTGAGGCCAATCGCTTGCTTGAGTGGCCTTCTGGATCTTGGTGAAACCATCATCCGACTTTTCTAGAAGATGAAAGGGGCTTGTTTTGGAAGTCGCATGAAGTCGCACATCATGTGATCCAGGGCTTTTACAAATCGGATCAAAACTGTGTGAATTAGATTGATTTAGACATTGTCCAATAACAAGAAAAACAGTTTCAAGAGGTTTGAACTAGTCCGTTCACCATTCTGTCTATTGACTTGGTGCCTTGGAAGGGTGTGCGGCTTACTTTAGGGGGCCTTGATGGCAACGCTTTGAAGGTTCACTGGAAACACCTTCTGATTCTGAAACATCGAGGATGGAAAACAAACTAGTCTCAGTCTCTCAGCATGTTCATTCACCTATCAAGAGACAGTGCACTACCATGCAAGCTGACGAGCTTGGCTTTTCTTTTGATGCCAAGCAACTGGCTCACAGGGGGTAGTGACCGGGTAGTGTGTTGGTAAAGTTTGATTCAAAGATGAATCGTACACGGAGGTCCAAAAGAGACTCTTCAGAGGAAAGCATCCGGGTTCTGAATGTGGCCCCATCGTTTTCTACTCCAGCTGCTTCGGTTTAAGCATCAGTGACCATGGTTCTGTGTAACCCGATTTCAATCGTCTTTCCGGGGGATGCGAAAGAGTTCTTGGACCAACTGATGCACCCAAGGCCTTTGATTTGGCTGAAGTGATGAGGGATGCTTCCGCTCCAGATCCAGCTCCAAGCAGGCAAATCGGCCGTCCTGCCTCATCTTCAAGGACCGCAGCTGCTTCTATGCCTGCAAGCCCCAATCAAAAGAATGCCAGTGCCATGACCGCGTTACTCATTAAAACACTCTTGTGCGCAACATGCTCACTTTCTCCCATCTATTGGTAAACCATGTGCAGGGTATCGGTGAGCAGTTGAGGTGCACCGGCTCCACCTTCCTTGGGCACAGCTCTTCATCATGTTCTACCACCGAGGTACAGTGATTCAGCGGAGGACTCATCCTCCAAAGATGCTGATGCCAAACAGAAAAAAAAGAAGCCCAGAACAGAGAAAGAACCCGAAAAGGGCAAGAAACACAAGGGCAAACGTGAAGAGGGTGACGAGGAGCTCACCCTTTCCCCCTTGGGTGGTTCTAAAGAGGACGATGACGATGAAGGCGATGAAACCAAGGACATAAACATGTTGCTTCGTTTGGCGGGCGACAAAGTCAACAAAAGGCCCGCATCTGCGAAAGCCTCAAGCCAGAAGAAGCCAGCGGCCGAGAAAGAAACTAAGAAGAAGAAGACCAACAAAACCGACGAGGCAGGATATCTGTGTTGTTGATGACATAAGTTTTCTTTTGTCTGAACTTATTGGCCTTAATTGCGGTGACTTTTTCTTTGTGCACAGGAAATTCCATGTGATGATGCACTTATGCCCCAAGAGATTGTTCAGGAGTATGCTCCAGGGTATCAGGATTGCATTGGCTGCTTTGTGAACACTTTCATAGCATTGCACACTTGTGATTGCCATTGCCATGCAGAGGTGGCCCGCTACCCAACAATCTAAGGACCTTTGACGACCTGTATAGGCTGAATATCATTCCTGAAGACATCACACCTATCAAACAATTCCCTGACCCTGACAACCAGCTTGGCTTGTCAAGTGTTGAAGACTCTTGGCCCAAGATTGAAAGCTTGTTGATTGAATGTCTCTTGAACATCAACCTACAAATACCATCCTTTGAATGTCATTCTCATTCATGAGGTGGATGAGAAACGTGGTAGATTGCGACGATTGCGGCCCTTGTCTCCAGGCCTTCTTGCTCAGGAGCCTCGCCATGAGTAAGACCTTGGTAGAGCAATCTTGCGGGACATTAATTATTTCAGAAGCAAAACCGGGCAAAACCCAATGCACTTGAATAGCTGTTCAGCTGCGCCAGCCCTTTCTCTCAGGAGACTTTCGAGGATACTTTGATCCCTACATCTCACACCTTCCATGACAGAATGGAAGCCGCAGCTGAAGCAGGCGTGATCTTGACTGAGAAGGGGAGTGACTTCGAACAACAGCCTGTGCCGCCTGTGTCTCCTGATCCCTATGCCACTGAAGAGCCGGTTGAGCCATGTTTCGAAGAAAAGTCGGCTGGGCTACAGATGGAAATGAACGCTGACATCAAAAATGACTCCGATGAGCGGTTGTCTGAGGCCACAGTCGGCTATGTACATCCACCATGTGGAGAACTTCCCGTCCCCGGACCATCGTTCTTGGCTGAGGGTGCAGGTGAAGCCACAGGATCACCAGGGGAGGAAACAGTTTTTGGAGAATCAGCTGGTGAACACGAGGAGGCCTTTGTTGAGGTGGTTGAGACACCGGTTGATTCAACCACCCCGACAGAAATTGAAGAGGAGGTGGAGCAGGAAGTCATTCCACCAAAACCCATGCCACAACAGTGCATCAAGACTCCCCCCAGGCCACAGTGGACCAAAAACCGTGAAAAGCTTTGCAAAGGCAAAGCCGAAAGCAAAGCTATCTGCACCGAAGGCCAAACCAAGTGCCAAACCAAAGGCCAAAGCAAAAGGCCAGAAGCGGTCATCTCCAAAGAAGAAAGCAACGGCAGCAAAGAAGGAGAAAAGCTGTGGATCCCGCAAAAAGGATAAAAAGGTGCAGAAGAAAACAAAGGGAAAGGATTCAGTGGAGTTGAAGATACATGCAGCATCTGAACTGAATAGAACAACGAAGGATGATTTTTAACCCACATAAAAGAATGTCTGTGAATCACGTTGTGCTTCTGTGTATGTGCCTTCTTGTTGAATCACGTTGTACTTCTGTGTGTGTGCCTTCCTCTAAGGCATATTGTTCAGGATGGCTGGCGGCAAAGAAAGAGGGCCTTTCAGGGTTGGAAGCCAGGCATGCTGGCAACCATGCTCGGAAGAAGTGGCTTGGGTACAATTGATTGTAGCTTTTCTGACAGATGTGTTGCTTCTTGTGTGTAAGTTGTTTGTCAATCATCTGAATGGGGTGTTGATGCCACCTGGATCGAAGGTGGATCATGAAGGAGGGCCCTCGATCTCACCCAGCTGTAAAGAAGTGGCTGGAAAAGTTTGGAGAAGCCTGAGGTCCCGACATGAGGATCGAAAGGCTCTATGAAGAGCGCTCGGGGGTTTGAGCCAAAAATAGATCTGTGCGCAGGGCCTCACTCAAAGGGTCACTTACACATGGGACAAGGGTCGCTTGCAATGGGACTTTCCTAACATCAAAAAAACAATATTATAGGTGTGTATTCTAATTAGGGGACCTCCCAGCCAATGGAGTTAGTCTTTATTGTATAGTCGTTATGTGTGTTTTTCCAGAGGTCTTAGTCAGGGGTCTACCCATTAAAATACACATTCATATGTATCCAAGCCATCTCTCTAGTAGGTTGGAGGCCATCGCTACTGGCGTGGAGGCCATCGCCACTAGGGTGGAGGCCATCGCTAGTAGGTTGGAGGCCATTGCTATTGGGTTCCTTTTGCTATCATTTATCCAAGCCATCTCTCAGTCTTTTCGGAGCCCATCTCCAAGCGCCCGTCAACGGCTCCACCCAGCCCTGCGCCGACGAGAGACGCCGCTGGGGCCACGCAATGTCCACCACCAGGCAATCCTCCAGCAAGAGTTCATCCTCAAAAGGCAAAAAAATGCGAACGGATGGAAAGGTGTGCCCTGGCCCCGTTCTAGCCCTTAGTTCAACATGAAGCTCGCGCGCTAAAGCTCCTTTTTACCTGGTTGGGCACTTGAGCCAAAAGTATATGGCATGTACCTGTATAGCAACTATACTGGGACCTCATCCCCATTGACACCCCCCACATCCGTGCTTCGACGGGGAAGGGAGATGAGTGGATGTAAAAACCGGAGAACGAGTCATGTTCTCAAAAGTGCATTGGAGGTCAACCAGTATGTCCTATAGAACTGAATTAGCAAACGATCTTGCATTCGCTTGAAAGTTGGATCAAACAGGTAATGGAGCTACATGCGGAAAATGTGCGCCTACCTATGGTATCATGCGATTACCAACGGTGTGAAACACAATCCTGTCTCACTCCCATGATGCCAAAACGGTCATCATGAATTACCCAAGATCCCTCAGTACTTGAAGTACCGGAAGTGGCGTGTCGGTACGACCCCAATGCTCAACCATTCGTGAGTTGTCGCATGTAGTCAGCGCCGACAAAGCCAATGTAGTCCTTGATGAGCTCAACGTTCCTTGGGTTTCCCCTTCGGATCTGCTCCTCAAAGAGCTTCAATTTCTGTGCTTGAATATCGGATACCTCTATGCCATAGTAGCGGCATGCAACGAGGATCTCCTTTGTGACATTCTTCCGCTCCGATTTGATGGCGGGGCTAATGTCGATGAATTTGTATGGAGCGGCACCTTCGTCATCTGGTTTCTGGTAGTAGCTATATCGGCTCGCTCCAAAGGTCTTCCTGATCAAGCGTCTGATGAAATTTGATATGAATGCCAGTTTCTCGATGATCTCTTCCTGGGTCTCAGATCTTCGAGCCTTTGGATCACTCATGTTACGCCGAGTGCTGCCGACCTCTTTGAGGTACTTGTGGCTAAGCCCGCAGCGGATTGCGGTGATCATCATCGGGTGAATAACGTGGGCGTGGAATTCATAGATCTGCCACGCTTCTGTTGCATACGTGTCGT